CTTGTAGTTTTGCTAACATGTTCATTTAAAATAGGACAAAATATAAAATTGCATTCTGTAAGAAACTTAATACACATTATTTGGAATGGTTCTCAGACAAATTTACAACATTTCTTTCAAGTTAAACAAAAGATAAGCAAACTGAAAAATATTTCCAATATTCTTTCTTTCTTTTATGATCTGCTTTTGGATTCAGCTGAAAATGCAGTCTTCTTTTACCTTAGATTTATGCAAAATCTTAATTACATCAGATATGATGTATTTCCAATCATTTAAGTACCTGTGAAGGGAGATGCACTATTATAAGTATTGTGCAAACCTTGAGAAATGTTTGTATCTTTAATGATGGAATAACCAGATTCAGTATTCAATAATAAATTAATAATACTAATAAAACATAATTCTATAGTAACTAATATCAATAAAATAATAAAAATATAATTGTGTAACTAATAATATATTAATAAAAGAATTACATAACTTATAATAATTAATAAATAAAAATAATAAATATATAATTGTATCATAATTATTAATAACAAATACATAAAATTGTATAAGTAATAATAATGTAAAATAAAAAATACCAAATGCATAATAATTGCATTATAATTAATAATAAATGTATAATAAAAAAAAAAGTATAAATTCATAATAATTGCATTATAATAACAAATGTGTAATAAATAAAAAGGATCATAATAATTGCATTATAATAATAATAAATGTATAATAAATAAAAAAGGATAAATTCATAATAATTTCATTATAATAACAAATGTGTAATAAATAGAAAAGGATCATAATAATTGCATTATAATAACTAATAATAATAAATGTACAATAAATAAAAAAGGATCATAATAATTGCATTATAATAATAAATGTATAATAAATAAAAAAAGGATAAATTCATAATTTCATTATAATAACTAATAATAAAGATATAATAAATAAAAAGATCATAATAATTGCATTATAATTAATAATAAATGTATAATAAATAAAAAAAAAATGATAAGTGCATTATAAATAATAATGTATAATAAATAAAAAGGATCATAATAATCGCATTATAATTAATAATAATAAAAAATGTATAATAAATAAAAAATATATAATTATAAATACATAATTGTATTCTAATAACTTCTAATAAATAAAATTAACAGACATTCAAGTAACATGAATTTTTTTGTAATACAAAATAACGCTCAACCAAAGCAAAGGCTTGATAGCTATGAAAAACATTTAATTGCACACCATCATTAACAGACAATTCTTTACACATAATTTGTTTTGATTAAATTGCTGAATTGAAATGACCACCTGAGCATTTACATTTTTTCCTTATAATTACCTCAAAAATTTAATTTGTATTTTGCTTCATCTCAGAATTTCATCTTATCAAATATTGAAATGAAAATGATTCCCCTCAAAATTTATTTAAAACAAAAAGGACAAACATTTCACTTGGTTTTCGCTAAAATCTGTTTATTTTTAAGCAAAAATCATTACAATTTACAATCTGTGCTTTTTACTGAGAGGCTAGAAATGGCTGCTCAAGTTTCATCACCAAGGACAACATTTTGATAATTCAGAACCAGTGTTGGTGAATAGCAGTTTGTCAGCTAATCTCGAAAGACTATTACTATGGAAGTGAATTTGATACTCCCTGGGTGCTTCACAATTGTGCAATCCAAAGATTAAGTTTTACTTAATTTGTGAATGCCAAAAAACAAGAAAGGTTTCAATTAATATACGGTATATACTTGGAATAAGCATACGATGTGAAAATATACACTGTAGTGCAGGGGTCGGCAACATTTTGAAGAGCACAGGCCTGACGGATACGCAGTCTCTCGGAGGAGGGACATGATATCAAATGTACTATAATAAATTGTCTCAGACCGTTCCGTACAAAACGCTGCCTTTGTCTGGAGGTTTAAAGACAAAAAAAACAACAAAGTTAATGTTATTTAAAAATGGTTCCTTATTTTACTACAGGAATAACAGAATAACAACAAACACAAACAACAAAAAATGCAAATTCCTTACTACAGTTAAACTGGTTGGCCGGTCAAAAATGCTTCGTGGGCTGGATGTGGCCAGAGGGCCGGAAGTTGCCGACCCCTGATGTAGTGTATGGAAGATATGATGCATTAAGAATATCTGTATGGATATACAAATCTGCATAATAGTAATATGAGGAATGTTGTTTTTATTGGTATAGAGTAATGACTTCTGATATCATAACAATGGTATATCACATTTCTATGAAGCAGATATCATGCTGTGTTAATGATAAATATATTAAATCATATTGTGTTTTATAGAATATATATTAACTTATATGGTTGATTAAGAAGATTTCTTCTGTGTTTGTTTTGAGATAGCATTAAGAGTATTTATTTTTAATTTATTTGCATGATGAAAACACAATTAAGTTTTGCGAAATATTTTTTTCTTGAATCTAGCACTGAAGATGGAAGAAAACAAC